CATATCATGTTTTGCTGTATAGATTGTATTCAAAATGTGCAAAATACTCTGAGGTACTTGTGGTTTATGCGTTCATATTTTTTATAATTCCTTATACAAGGCGACTCAAAAAATTTAATGAATTTATTAATCAAATCAACCACTTCTCACCCCATTTTTCCATAAAATACAATACTGTTATTATTAGTATTACACTGTTTAACTACTACTAACCACAGTGATGTACATTTTCTTGCTATATTCATGACTTCATCACAAAATTTTGTAATGGAAAACCATTGAAAACATGTTTCTTTACCTATAATTTACCACTAAACACATATATTTATTTTAACTTATGGTTACACAACAAATTACAGGGTGCTCAAAAAATGGTGCACTAACGCAAAATACAGACTTTTAGATATGTAAATAGACGAAGAAACGTAAAAAATTAGCCACTGTTGTCGGATTTATTCCTCCAAAATTATATTTTTGAATTACGAATGCCCGATAGATTTCACATATCAAAAATTAGGATTTTAAAAATTATTTCTCCTTACTCAATAAACAGCCCTTAACAACGTGACTTGCTGCGCCATTTTTGAGCACGCTATATATCTTGATCATCACATAAGTACTCAATTTCAAGTTGTTGTTTGTATGTCAACGCACATTTGCAATTACGACTGGATTAAATTTTCAGCAACCCAAATATTCCAATAAATTTAATGCATAAATTTAAAAAAATCACGTAATTTGGCTTTTATTTAATAAAAATAAATAATACTCTATTAAAATAAAAAACATATTAAAACAAATATATTTATTTTATCTGCGACCTACATGATAATCATTTATTATGACGGCTATTTGAGTTATGTAATGAAATTCATTACACAATTCATTTTGATCTTCAAGAATAAATTTATAAATATAGCGATGGAACATTTTATTTAAGTAAATTACAAACAATAAAACACTTATGTATTAGGGTTACTATAAACATTAATAACAATGTTTTTGCAATTGGATATATTGATACCAGCTGATGGTTAGCTGTGCCCTGTTTCTACTCTCTGTTTGTAGTAATTTATTGTTCGTACAAGAATTACTTGATACAGCAATGTACCTCTCCCCCCCACTGTATTCCATTTTCCAGCTTCCAGGGCATTTTACGATTAAGAGGTCTGATCCAGAGTCTGCCAGCATCGAAGTGTAAGAGCGCGTGAAGCAATGCCCAGTGTACTCTTTAGGATTTGATAAATTCAAAAATGTAGTGATATTTTTGGCACACTTCCAAACGCATTAATGCCTACAGGTTGTATTGTAGAAAAATCTTTTTTGTATCCAACAAAAATCCTTCCATGGTTGGTATGCTGAGGACGTAATGCCAAATTTTTCCTAACTGTTTCCACCATATCATCAAGTCCCTGGATGCCACCAACCGTTACAAAAAATTCTCTGGAAATTTTGGTTTTGGTGTGCGGGATTTAAATATGGAAAAGCAACCCTTCATGCTTAACATTTTCTAGAAGCAAGTTCGTGAGCTTCTCTAGCTGAGGGAACAGTTTCCGAGTGTCATCATAAAATTCGTGTCACGAAAAACATAAAATTAAGCGTTATTGAACCAACTAGTCACCATGGTATCAAAAAATTTAGCGCATTTTGAGACCAAATTTGAATTTTTCTTAAAATATTTATTTTTAGTTTTGTGTTTTATCTATGCGGTCGCAGATAAAATGTTGTACACACTCGTGGGCTAGAGCATATTACACTACTCGTTGTGTAATGATGCTTCTACCCCACTTCTAATGTAGATAACTAGAGAGCGGATTTATAAGCACAAAAAAATTAAGAATAAGCGCTTAAATAAGCACATTTTCAATAAAAAAGTTTTATTTTAAGCAAAAAAGCATTAAAAACATAATAATATTACAAATCAAAGAACACTTTTTAGAACTTTGGATAAAATATTATTACAATAATCCTAGACTTTATATTTTACACACGTATTTCAGTTTTCTTTAAAACAATGTATGATTGTAATATGTTCCAAGTTGTCCACTGTAAAATTTTTTCGCCAATCATTTATAAAATGTGTTTAAAATTGGAGAATGTACGTTCAACATCCACACTCGTTGTTGGCGCAAATTTGAATTTTGCAACTAATGTTGAATCTAACTCCAAATTTTCCACCTTCTGGCCTTGTAAAACCCGAGCAACGTCGGAAAGAACACCGAAACCTGCATTTTTATTTAACACTTTGTCAAGTTTTTGAGATACTCTAGTACCAATATCACCCCTTACTGCGTTTGCTTGTTGTTTAAATTCTTTCACTAAGTTTATGGCATCTACCAACAACATGTTGGGTTTTTCTAACTTTTCTATTACCTCACATACGAATTGATAATTGCTTCTTGGAAAAGCTAGATCTTGTCGCAAATCTTTGTTTTCCAAAATATTTATGCAATCTTTAATCGATTGAGAAGAATCTTCGCTAAACTCCGTAACTACTTCCTCAAATTCTTTGATATATTTGTCATAATAAAATGTGGCCTGTAACCATGTTGCCCACCTCGTTATAATCGGCTCTGGGGGCAATGGTATGTTTGGAAATTTTTCCTTAAAATGTTGCACTCTTAGTGGGGCTTTAACAAAAATCTTTTTACCATTTGCCACTAATTTATTAACAGTAGGAAACTGCAAACGTATTCCTTCAGCCACTCTGTTTAAACCGTGGGCAATGCAAGTAGAGTGAATTAAATTGGGGTACAATATTTTTAGATTATTCCCTGCTTTCAACATATAACGAGCTGCATCCGAGATCATCAATAAAATTTTATTCGCCGGTACGGCATTTGGCAAAAATAGTGACGTAAGACTGTCGTTTACAAATCTGGTAATCGTATTGCCATTTGTTTTATCTAACATTTTCAAACTTACTACATACCCTCGACTAGGGAAATTTTCATTTAAGATTCCAACAATTAAACTTGCCATGTATCTTCCACAACTATCGGTTGTTTGATCGACAGCGAACCATAAATAATTATCTCCAATGCGATGTTTAATTTCGTTGTAAACTTGCTGAAACACTGGGCCTACATAATTTTTTCGGAGAGTACTTTCAATCGGAATATGTCGATTGCAGTGTTTTTCCAGGAATTCTTGAAGAGGGCCTTTCTCCAATTTTTTTAAAGGTATATTGGACTGGATCATCATTTTACATAAATCGAAATTAAACTGAAACTGCTCATCTTTTGTGGAAGTAGATGCAACAGATTCATGTATGGTCTGCTGTTTAATTTTAGAAACTTCAAACATTTTCTTCCTTTCTACATGAAGAGTCGTTCTAACATGTTGCGTCACGTTATATTTTTTATCACTTTGAATCTAAAACAACGTACATATACAGGATTAACAAAGGAAAATAGATAAAAAAAATTAGTGGGCTTACGGTTTTCACACAAGCTCTGCAGAATATTTTGTTGTTTTCTAATTTTAATTCTGGAAAATCCCTTATCCACTCATCCGGCGTCGATTTTACTTTTCGGCATTCTTTTAAAATAGTAGTAATATTACCAAAAAGAACTCAACATGTAACAAGGGAGAACCACGTGTAACACTGTACTACGACAGATGCGATAGACTGATCGTTGTGAAATAAACGGTTCATTTACTTAAAAGTTTCCATTAGAAAAATTTTAAGGTAGGTCGTTGGGTACAATAATCCTTTTTTCTAGAAAATCTTCAACGATCTTGCCGCAAAATGCCGGAAAAGAACATCTGGTTAAAAGCTTTAATTCATTATCAACGGAAGTAAGGATTTAAAGTCATAAAATCTATGGAGTATTTTTCCACTCCTATAATAAAATTTTATTACCCAAACGACCGGAACCTATTCACAGAAAGGGTCTTGAGTAAGTGTACTTCAATGGTCAAGTCCAGGTAAAATGCATACGATACGATACGGCTAACTAACAAGTATTTGTCATCCCGACAAGGCCGGCATTTGAACAAAATATGCATTAAAACTCATACTCGTCGAAAAAAGCATTAAATAAGCATATAAGTTTTAATATGCATAAAAGTGAAAAAAAAGCAAATAAGCATAAAAAGAATGTGTCAAATGACTCCAAATTGTATCATAGTTGCAGATATAAAAAAGTTTTGAAGTGCTTACATTTTTCACAAAAAGCATTAAACCTAGAAATCCGCTCTCTATAGATAACTATTACGACACGACTCAAAGGGTTGGTCATTTATTTAGTGGCATAAATGAAATCGTCGAATAACTACATGGCGTCTTCTGGTGTCTGAGTCTGTGGGGAAATTAATGTTGTTATTATTATTATAACATAATTGTCATAATTAGTTTAACGTACGTAACAAAATGTGTTACAAAAGCGGGGGATGTACGGGGTATTAATTATTACCTACATAACTGTCTCTTGCTTGACCTATGTTGTAATCATAACAAACTGTTACACAATACAAACGCAATAACAGCTCTCTTTCTTTACAACAAAACAGCAGACAAGCATTACTCCGAAAATGTATGTAAAAATATGATTGCAACATAAAATATGTTCTAGACAAGTATCAATATGTATCAGCTGAAACGTGAAAAATTGAAGACGGAAACGTTGACAGATATTCGTTATTTAAAACAGCTCCTAAAAAAAACAGCACCACCTTGTTAGTTGTTCTTACTTCCACACAATACAAGCAAAGTCAGTATTACCCTCCACAACGCAAATAATTATCCCACTTTACAAAAGACGCGAATTGCTCAAAAAGCAAACTAAGTAAGTTACGTCGTTGCCCCTCCGAGAACATTCTCTTTAAGAATTACACAACACACTGTGCACTTATTTTTCACTCGATGAACTTTTTAATACCGCCTCTTTGTGAAATGATTTCAAAGCAACCTCTCTCGCATTTTACACTTTTACGCGAAATTGAGACGCACTTTGCTTTCTTTTCAGAGTTTGTGCTGATTATACTTGTGTTTGCAGGTCAGAGTGCAGCTTCCTTCCCTACTTCAGCTGCAGTGTTTTCTTGAAGATGTACGTGCATGCATAAACCAGGTTAGTTAAAATTTTCCAGCGTTGGCTCGGACATCGATCTGTTTTGCGCGTTCGCATCTGAGAGATAGACGTAGTTCCATGACACCATTTTGCAAATTATACAATTAGAGAATTAACTGTAACAATAACAGTCGTAATTATTCGGGACGGATCCCCATTGCTTGGCAGATGGTCGCTTCCGACCCAAGCTGGTTGTTCTGCAGGATGTCCGAGTGATAATGGGAGCTTGATTGCGAGAAGCGCATTGTGAATTTCATTATGTGGGTCCACTTTCTCAGAAAATGGACTTGAATATTTCATATTTGCGTCGGTAGGTTTATTCTTTCTCAAGATTTTCGTATAAAACTAATAGAACACGTCTCGTATATCTGAAAATTGTTTACGACATCTACTTTTTGTAAATTGGAATTATGGAGGTGTTCGAAGTTTTTTTATTCAGTCGATGTGTTTATTTCATTTTTGAAACAAGTGCAACCACTGTATGCACCTATCCTTATATGGCTTATCGATTTTGTATATTTCTATTTTTAGCTGTGCGAATGTCAAACATGTACCTGTTTCCTCTTCCAGTGTAAATTATTTAACTAATTGGAAATATTTTGTTTAGAAAAAATAATTCTGTTGTGTACTTTTATTAAAATTAATTAATATAATATAGGTACAGCACAGTCCAGATAAAAACTCCGCGGCCTTATTCTTATAACGCGCTATCAAATATAAAACACCTCTCGTTGCTACTTGATGTGCAAATATTTTTTCAACATCTGTCAGTGTCAAACTGGTGAATGAAGTGGATGGCACGTCACTATCCAAATCGAAGAGGGGAGAATATTCCTTCCTCCATGAATCATGGACCTTCTTCCGAATTGTCGATCTAACCGCAAATTGTTATTAAACGTTAGCTACGCTATATTTTCAGAAAACATTTGAGCATCGAATGGTAACTAGAGAAGTTTTCTTTATCGCTCGTTATCTTCAAAACGGATTGAGATATTGAAATAGTGTAAACGCCATTGTTTTTACCTTGAAAGGGGAAAGACGACTTTAGTACATTCTCAGTATGACGCGACGCAAACATACATTGGAACATTACATATAGGGTTGTAATATTGCAATGTATGTTTGCGTCGCAACATGGCGGGATCAATATCCCTGAATTTTTTTTTAATTTTTAGATGACTTTTTCAAAAATGAAAACGACGATTTTCGAAATTTAACTAAATACACATTTTCTTGTCGATTTTAGGCCGCAGAAATTACTTCTGGTTTCATTTTTTCGATAACTTAAACCGTTTTTCCAGAGTCGTCCATTGAAATGTCAGAATTTTTTAAAAATTTCAAAAAATTCGAATTTCACACCGAATTTTCCGAAAATATTGCTCCGTTACCATAAACATGTTATATTTTTGGAATCAGCACGTCGGAATATATCTTTGAATTTTTTGAAAAAAATGAAATTTTCCACAATATTATGCAAATTTCGACCCATTTTTGACGATTTTCAAAATTTAACTAAATACTTTTTCTTGTAGATTTCGGGCCGCAGAAGTCACTTCTGGTCTCAGTTCTTCGTTAACTTCAAACTTTTTTTAAGAATTATTTAATTAACTCAGTGCATTGAAATATCGCAATATTTCAAAATTTCAAAAAATTCAATAAAACACGTCCAGAAAGAAGATTTTGCGTCATTTTTGCAAGTAGGTGCATGTTTTCAAGTTTAGTTCGGATTGCAGAGTTTTTGTTCGGATTAAAGAGACACTGACTTCAACTAGCCTCTGTTCGGATTACTGGATGTTCGGATGGGTTCGGATTATAGAGGTTATACTGTAAATGTTTTTCAGAATTAAAAAATTAAACCATTTTTGACAGACAGTAAAAGTATTGTACGTTTCAAATTAATAAAACATATTTGCAGTGTACTAAATTAACATACTTCTGCATTTGTGGTTTATGAGTCAGTGTTGAGTTTATATCTTATAGATTCTTGAAAAAAAATCAAAGTTGTATAACAACATTTTGCAGTTTAACTCTGAATCTGCAAAACCGAATGCGTTAAAATCTTGCAAACGTTTTAAGCTCATGGTAGGCATTGTAAACCATTAATCAAAACTCCGTTTACCCCCTCCAAAAAATTTTCGTCATCTCAAAATTTTGCCGAATAAATGCTACCTAAAATATGTAAAATTTTATTAGTCTATTCTTGTATCTTTACCAGTGCCTTCATTTTGTTAGAATCACTTGTAGAGGTGACTCAAAAAAACTATTAGATGGGGGTATCTATTTATTGATCAAATCAAGAGCGGGTTATCCCATTCTCCCGATAATTTAAAACTAAAATAATATTATTAGTAGTATTACACGGCACTTATTCAAACTGGCGAGTGGCTACTTTCAGTTTTTCTCAATGGTCATGGTCCCTAGATCTAGAGTACAAAAAGATATAGGTCTCCTGTTTCCATCTGTCTGTCTGTCTGTCCGCCGACCGTGTAAATTTTTGTTAGACAGATAATCTCCGAAACTACCTAACCGATTGTTGTGAAAAATTTTGTACATATATCACATGAATATCATGTAGATGGTAAAATGCTAACCAAACTTTTCTAATCATCCTCATGTCATGACATCACGTCAAAATTGTACATTACTATGTACACTTTTGCCATTTTTTTTCCAATTTACTAATATGATTTAATTTGTATAAAATAACATAGTCTCACACGTGTAGTTTATTAATCCCTGTTAAGTTTTTACCCACTTTTTTGGGAAAAAAATCAAAACTATATAATAAAAACATCTTGCAATTTAATTTTTAAATCAGCAGACGTTTTAAAGTTATCGTAAGCACGGTGACGTCATCACAAAATTTTGTAACCGAAAAACTCGTTTGAAACATGCACGTAGCACGTTTCTTTATATTTACTTTATAACATTACATACATTTCTTTATGTTAACTTATAGGATTTCTCAAAAAAAATAAAATTCGCAAAATGAATTTTTATAACTTTTTGAAAAAGCTAGATCCTATATTTTATTGTACTTCAGGGGAGGGAAGTTCTGTCGAAATAACCTTCCACCAATTTTTTTAAATTGCAACGTAACGGGTGTTTATTTGAAAATATCATCAAGATGAATGCTTTTTAATTCTGAGCATAAGCTAAGCAGGTATGTACTGTAATCGAGTCTTATCAGGCGATTAACTATTTTCATGTTTTCTGTTTCATGGCCTCTAGAGTACAAAAGAAGTAGATCTCCCGTTTCCGTCTGTCTATCTGCCGCCTACCGTCTGTGTAATTTCTATTAGACACATTTTCTCCCAAACTACCGGACTGATAGTTGTCAAAATTCCTAAAGTATATATACATATATATATACTTTAGGAATGTCGTGTAGATGTCAAAACGGTAATAAAAATTTGGCTGATCATCCCCATCAACAATGGGGTGACGTCATTTCCAAAATTTATCATTAAATGTTATTTAAATTTCATAAAATAAAATTTTCCTGCATTTGTTTTTCCATTTTACAATTAATTTTAAAACTACAAAACCAAATCCTCCGAAATGCTCAAATTAATGAGTTTTTACTCTACATATCCAGTTTTTTGAAAAAAAGTGAGTTCGCTTAATTAATTATTTAGTCATCTCGTCTGCGCTGGGGAGGCAAAAATCAAACAAATTTCATTTTCTTTTAATACAAATACCGCCATTGACGACAGTCGAAGTTAATCATGTACTAGGAAATCCAGACTACATGTTTTTCCGTTGGTTGCCTGCTTTAAATACATTTCAAATTGTCCCCACTTCTGTAGACCTTGCCCGTGGGTGTTACGTATTTACGCCACTGATATGTAGAACAAAACAAAAATCGCAAAATCAATTTTTTTTGTTTTATTGGGCTATACTTCAAGAGCGAGGAAAGTTCTGTCAAAATAACATTGAACCAATTTTTTGATAGAAGAAAACATAGTGAAAATCACATTGTTTTATTGATCCGTAGTACTTGCTAAGATAAGACTGATTTTGGCAAATGACATATCCTCTAAGAAAGTAGAGTGTTGGTGGGCGGGCCTAAGAATTGATAAGATAAGACTGATTCTGGCACTATTGACATTTTCGCCCATTTTTCAACTACATATATCCGAAAATTAGTTGAAGATATTTTCTTGTGGATTTCGATATCCAGAAGTCATTTTTGGCTTCGTTTCTTCGGAAATTTCTATCGTTTTTCGAAAATTGCCAATTGAAATATAGCAGTTTTTACAGTTTCGTCAAAAATAGCTCGGTATAAAGATTTTGTACGTGGATAAAAAATTAAATTATTATTAATTTTTGTTTCACAAAATACAATTATTTTAAAAATGTACTTTGTGGTTTTTATATATTCACAGAAATATTTAAAATTTGCTTATTTGAGACAATAGCCAATTATTTGTAGTTATCTGAATGGTTCATTAAAAGGTTCTCTTCAAAAACGCCAGCTGTTTTGATGGTAAATCTTATCATCACACAATAAGAAAAGCGGGCCCTCGCTTTTTGATCTAATCGCCGTAGAACATGGTATTTTAATGAGATTTTAGTAATAAAGACTCGACCAGCACCAGCAACATAACCTAATAAAATATTTTGTGCAGTTTGTGCATTTATTCCGTTTAAACTGACCTACAATAATCGTCATATTGGATAAAATAATTCGGTTTGAGTCGTTCAGTGATTACTGAGTGAGGCAGGGCGAGTACACTCCTAGCTTGACGGGCTCCCAGGACATGTCATAATGCTGCCGATGGGGTTTTGATGAAGACCAGCTGCTCGAATTCTTCATCTCAGGCTTTTTGGATACGGCCTGAGTGTAGTTCGTGATGGTTCGTTTGACGAAGTCGTAATCATCACACTGGATAAAATAATTCAGTTTGAGTTGTTCGTTGATTTCTGAGAATAATTTCTAATTTCACTTTAACATTTAGATTTTGCATGGTTAATCTAAAGACGCGATCGCCGAACTT